AATATTCATTGGGCACTGGATGCTTATGCTTCTAATCTTAATTACTGAAGAGATTGTGATTCAGAAAATCATGACTTGAATCCTGCATAGGCAGGAAAATCTAGGATACTTCCTTGTTCTTTAATTAAACAGCAAAATGGTGAACCAGCTGTGCAGCTCATGCGCTAGAGTACCAGACATGAGCAAGAAAGCTGAATGAGGGTGTTAGGCCTTGAGTTCTAGCACAAATATTGCCACATTAAAAATAATGAAGTATTAATATCATACATTAGTCTTGTTTCTTTGTGCCAGGTCTACATCTCAAAGCTCCAAGACAAGTGGTATTAGGTTACAGATAACCTTTTTATTCTCCCTGTTTTAAGAACAGGTCTCCATCAGCATATGAATGAGTAAAAAAAAAAGTTTGTGTTCACAGAAAGCAAGCAGTAGACTTAAAAGAAATGTTGGTGGCATGTCACTTCCAAAGGTAAGACATGGATCCATACCAAACAGAAGATGGTCAGGTCCTAATAGCCATTATATACAGGGAACTCAAGACACTAACCCCGCCCAAATCTAACAAACCAATCATGAAATGGACACGGGAGCTAAAGAGAGACTTCTCAGAAGAAGAGATCAAAATGGCAAAGAAACACATGAGGAAATGTTTATTTTCCCTGGCTGTAAGGAATTGCAAATAAAAACAACCCTGTGATAACGCCTTACCCCAGTCAGAATGGCCCACGTCCAAAAGTCAGCCAATGACAAATGCTGGAGGGGATGGGGAGAAAGAGGAACCCTACTGCATTGCTGGTGGGAATGGATACTGATGCAAGCACTTTGGAAAGCAGTCTGGAGGAACCTCAGAAAACTAAATATAGATGTCCTCTGTGTCCCAGCCATACCACTCTGAGGCATCTACCCTGAACAATGGGAACCAGGATACAAGGATACATGCACCTCCATTTTTATTGCAGCACTGCTCACTATTGCCAAGATATGGAAACAACCCAGATGCCCCGCTCCTCATGAGTAGATCCAAAAATTGTGGTACCTATATACAATGAAATGTTATGCAGCATTGCAAGGGAATGGATGGAACTAGAGTGAACCATTTTAGCGGCGTAAGCCAAAAACAAAGAGACAAACGGCACATGGTCTCCCTAATATGTGGATACTAAAACCAACATGCAAGGAAATATGACAAAGTAAACAGGGCTTGAGAAACAAAAGACAGCCACTCACTTTCTCTTATCATTGCTAAATGACTCCATGTTCTTGAGCATATATATGGTATATATATGCACACAATGGAAGGAAGCTAGAAGGAGGATGTAGAATAAATGGGAAACACAACAACACACAACAAAGGCCCCATCAGCTGCACTGGACATAAATGAACACGAACAAAGCAACCCAAAGACAGCAATGGGAAGGGAAGAATGAGAGGGAAAGAGGGAACAGCTTACAGTAATCTAAAGGAAAGAAATGTAAACATCTCCTGATGTGGAAAAAATAACTGTTTTGTCAAAGCTCATAGAATTGACAAACTTCATAGACCATGATAATGACATTTTGCCTTGTGAAGGTTAAAATGTATTTGTGATTTTAACTAAGTATCACTATGCCATAATACTGTGAAATATGTAAAATTTATGCAAGCATCTAATCTCAATTGTAAAAAAAAAAAAGAAAAGAAAAATGAAAGAAGGTATGGGTTAGGAGCAATGGGGGGACAATGTTGTCAGACAACTTCTATTTATATACTGTTTTGTAGAATGGGAACTTCTTTGTACAACTACTTAAAGATAATAAATCAAGCAAAAAGTTAAAACATTTCTAAGGATGTAAGTTGCTAGAAACAGATTCTCAAAGGTTTTGGTGTTCTGAAGTATATACACCTGAGTAAGACACTCAATGCAATCAAATTTAATCTTCAGATTATAAGTAAATTTAATTGGTGGTGTGATTCCTCAAATATGGACATTTCAATGCATGAGAAAGGGCTGCACCTCTTGCAGTCTATCTACTCTGCATTGAACATAATTGCACAATGTACACAATGTACATACTCTACATTGTACATAATCTACATTGTAGATGCTAGTGGAGCTATTCCCAGTTCAAGTGTGAGCAAAGAAATGGAGCCTCATCACCGAGGGCAGCCTAGGCTTAGACTCAAGATCTGAAGGTCCAGTGATACATGTAGGAGAATCAAAATGAAGTATTGTCGAATTTTAGAGCAAATTTGCCCCTAAATAGGTGTTTTGGTAAGTGCACATACACTTGTACACACACACACACATGCATTCATACAGACACACACGCCCATGCTCACATACATGAAGTCTGCTTTAAAATTAAAACAGGTTTACATAGTGCCTAAAGAATGTAATTGTGTACACACATCTTGGATTTCTGACCTCAGACTGCAAGGCAATACATTGCTATTGTAATAAGCAACTATGTGTGTGAACATGGGTTACTCTAGTCAAAGGGACAGGGTATAGGTATACAATCATCTATTGTATCAAGGCTGATATGACTCAATACTATCTAATGATTATGTGTCATTAGTGGAGACCAACCCGTAAACCACAAATGACATTGTTATACCAAATAGCTTCCATGTAGATCAGATCCTAAGGTCCTATAACCTCCATGACTGTGATTCATATCCTGTGTGATCACCTTATGTGAGCAAGACCTCTGACTTGCTTCTGAGCAAACACGGCATTGGTGACTGAATGCACACAACTACATGTTTGTGACTCCATGAATAGTTCTGGTGATGATATTTCTCCAGTCTGTCCCTCACATTTGTTTATGGAGAAGCAGCCATTTAGAGAAAGTCAGAAGAAGAAAAGTCTAAATGGATTTGAGAAGACAGGAATGCTGACATCTGGCCAGCAGCCAGAAGAAACACAGGCTCTCAATTTCTCACCTGAGAGGTCTGTACTCTACCAAACCACAGAAGGTTGAATATGGATCATTTCTAACTGAGACAGAGACAGAACTCCAACATGTTCATGAAAGCCCAGTGGAGCCATAAACCAGTACTAAGCTGAGCTATGTGAGACCCTTGAGCTTCAGAAACCAGGACATAATGAGTGTGTTCTGTTGTTACCAAATTTGTGATATATTTGTTGTGTACAAAGAAAAGGATGCCAATGTAGCCAGGGGCCTGTGGCTCATGCCTGTAAACCTAGCTATTCAGGAGTTTGAGACCTGAGGATTTTGATCTGAAACCAGCCTGATCAGGAAAGTCCATGAGGTTCTTACCTCCAACTAACCACCAGAAATACAGAAGTGGAGCTGTGTATCAAAGTGGTAGAATGCTAATCTTGAACAAAAGAGGTCAGGGACTGTACTCAGGAAGCTGCTGATCTGTAAACCATGAACCATGTCTGCTTAGACTCTCAAGAGGCCAATACAATTGGATCTGCCATGTAGACACAAGAGGCCTAATGGACAACTCCCTCCATGAATCATAGAGGATGAGGGGGATTGTTACCATTGATCTGTGCTTCATTATTTGGGGACATGGCGTGGCTATGGAGCCCAGATTGTCCCTAAGTTTGCTATGCCTATGATGCCACCACATGCCTTCTGGTATTAGAGGAGTGTCATCATTGCTGTTTAGGTTGATTATTCTTGATTGACTACTTAATTGCATTGAAAGATGTGTGCGAGGTTATAAAAGCATATTGTTCTCTGTGAGGATGTTCCTAGAGAGAATTCAATAAAGGAGAAAGACCCATATGAATTTAGGATGCAATATCCCAAAGGGAGCAGACTCACAAAAAAGAGGAAAGCAGAGAGCCAGTGGGTGTACACTCTTCTCTCTTCCTCCTACCCCCCCCTCCATCCCTCCTCTCTGTTTTCTCTTTCTGCTTCTTAACTGCCATGATGGGACTAGCTTTGCAATATCCTCTCCACCACAATTGACTGAACTTCTGAAAAGCTCTGAACCCCACAGACCCCCATCAATGCTTCCTCTCTTAAATGGTTCTTTGTGCATTAGTTATAAGAAAGAAAAGTGTGACTAACACAATATTGGAACCCAGAGAGGCGATGGTTACACAGAAGAGATCCTCCAGCTTGTCTCTTCCCTGCATCAGGACCACAATGGGGCTGGGGCTCTCACAGATGCCCATCTTGCTCATTGGCCACTGCGGCTGACCCAGCGTGCAATGAGAGGTCCCCATCAGTTATCTATGAACAGAGAGAATGACACTGGAGAAGCAAGGACTATGTACCCTCTAACCACCTTAAGAACACAGAGGCCCTCCTGAGAAAGGAGTCTGCACCCAAGTCCCTTAGGGTTGGACATTCACATCCCTCTACACTTCCAAAAAAAAACTTGGCCCTAAGGACCTGGTCCTTGGGAGTCAGGGATCTACCTCAGGAATTCTGATTAAAGACATGCACTACACAAAGCTTGAAGCTCATCAGAACTCATCTTTGGCCGCCATTTCTCCTCACTTTCCTCCTTCTCTCTCTCTCTCTCTCTCTTTTTCTTATAAATCCCTCTTTTTGAAGTCCAACCCAAGGATGACTGGTTTCACAGGTCAGCTGGAGGCATTGGGAGTGGGGCTTTGTCGGACCAATGATGACTTCAGGAGTAATGAGGTGACTCCTCCTTTAGAAAGAGTGTGTCCCTGGAAAGCTTTGGCATCAAGAGGACGATTCACCCAGTGACAGCATGACAATAAGTGCGATTTATTCTGCACAGGCCTCTATGTTGCAAAGAAGAGACCAAACCCAAAGCCATTTTGTCTGCCTTTGATAACATCATTTTCCTCAGTGTTGTAAGGCCTCAGCTGGTGGAGAGATCATCTGAGCTCATTTTATCAGGGCCTCTTGGATATACCATTTTAGTCTTTCTCTGTTTATTTGGTGCTGTTTTTTTCTTAGTTTTTGTTTACTTTTCTCTCTTCCCTATTTTGAGTGCTGCAAATCGAACCCAGGGCCTTGAGGGTATTAGGTAAATTCATTACCACAGACACACAACAATTCCATCATATATCCCTTAAGTATTTGACTATGGCAGACATAATTTTCTCACAACAGGGGAAATGGAAAAGAATTGTAGAAAATAATGCTAAGCACCCATGGAAACCATCTTCTGCGTGGTACCAGGTCACAGGGACCCCCTGGTCTTCCAAGCGCTTCTTATACAGTAGGCCATCATCTCTGAAGGAGTCCCACTCACAGGTCACTATGAGAGCCCCTGGAAGCTGAGCAATAATCTGGTCATCGGCTATGAGGGGGGCATTTTCTACCTCAAAAGCATGTCTGGTTTCCAGGTAGGCAGCCTCATTAAAAGGTGCAGGAAATTCTGCTTGGTACTTGTATCTGAACCTTTCAGGGAGATTGTCAGCGCTCAGCCATTTCTTATACTTCTCCCAGATATGGGCAGGAACACAAGCACCTTTTAACAAGGCATCTTTCCAGGAGGGGTCAATTGTAAAATATCGGCATAAAACTATCATGAGTTCTGTGAGGGGAATTGGGACATTTTTGTTCTGTTGATGTGATGGTAACTGCAAATTGATGCCCTGGAGAGCAGGGTAAACCAAGATCTGACCCCGGAGCTTTGGAATATCTGTTCTGCCCACCAAGGCCTGGCTGACGAATGCCACAATGGTAGCCCCAAGGCTGTCTCCAGAGACCACAACCCGGGAGGGGTCCACCCCATAGGTATCTAGTGTCTTCAGGAAGTGGACGGTGGCATTCAGACAATCCCTGAAAGAGACTGGGTGGTGGTAGTCAGGAAGCTTGCGGTACCTGCGGAGGAAAAATGAAACCCAGTACCATAGTGAGCAGAGGGTTAGAAGAGGCCATTTGAACAGCGTTCTCTACCACACTCAGGAGACCACTTATGATTAAGTCCTCAGAATGTGTGTAGCCAAAAAACAGGTGGATTCCTATCTTTTCTATGTGTGCATATGAAGAACCTGCTTAGAGTCAGAGTAGTTAAAGTTTTCCATCCCAACCCATATTTGTTTCCCTAGGCAAACAAAGGGAGGATTCTGAAACTTCCAATCTGTTGGCTTTCGACACAAAATAAACATTTATTGGGCAGGGGGAGGCAATTTAGCTACTGGTGGTCTCACAGTCTTTCAGCAGACATGGGAAGCTAAGATTGACCTCAGAATGAAATTGCTTTTTTCACAGAGGAGTAAACGGGAAAGAAGAGGTGGTAATGTAAGAAGGAAAGAGAAGGTATTCCTGAATCTAAACTTCTCTCAGCCATCTTTTCCCAGACTTGTCCTATGGCACCCTCTGGTAAGTCTGAAGCTCCTTTTCTCCCTGCATAATTCCAAAGCTGCCCATCAATCTGCTCTGATCCATGGGCCAGATCTCTGCAAGTATCTGCTACAACACATGGTGAAATTCCTCGAAGCATCAGTGTAGTGGCTCAAGTACACGTTGCTGTGCTCTCTGTGAGGCAATTTCATTTTCTCCAAGGTTTTTTGGATCATGGACTATTACATTAGAAGCTCAGATACTATAGTAGCCAGTTGAGATCAGGTCTTGACACTGGAAAGATTTTGCTCTCCTTAGTGGTTTCAAAATAGTCTAGAGATGCTTAGTAACTTACTGGAGTCCTACAGATGCCTGAATCCATCAATGAAGCATAAAGTTATAGTCTTTTTAAAAACTTCACTCACAGCCCTAGGAACTGGTTTGTGAAAGGAATATGGAAAACTTCGCTATATAAGGTGGCAAGGCCCCCAAGTGTGGAACTAGAGGGAAGTAGGTGATTCTGGGAGAAGATCTGAAGACTAGAATGCTGATAGGAATGTTGACATAAATGACTATGCTCATGAGATCTGAGGTGGAGACATGATTCTGTTGGGAACTTGATTAAATGTTATTCGTGTAACCTTTTGGCAAAGAACTCTCCATTTCTCCCATGCCTTGAGACTCTGTGAGAGATAACAGCAATTGGCAACAAAAAGACAAAATGGGAATATTGGAAAAATAGATGGTTTTCCAGAAAATTATTATTAAAACTGTTGTACGCATTGTGTGTGGTTGTTAAGAGAATAGTTGAGTAAAGAGAATAGTTAAGTAAAAGGAAACAACACTTTACTAAGGAATGGGAAAGATCCCTTGAGAGAATCTCAAGAAATCTCCAGACTGCATCCGTTTTGATGCTCAATTGTGAAAGTTTATACTCACACTTGAGCACCTTCCTTCCATAGAACCTATAGGAAGTTAGGTCTTCAGGATTTATTTTACCATGGCCAGTAATCCCTGCAGTAGTTGGCTAATGACTTAGTGGTCCACAGAGGGCCAGCTACTCCATATGCCGTTACTGAACAGTTGTTGGCATTATCCACGACTACTCTAGATAGTGTTGCATAGTTCCACTGAGAATTCAGAGGAAAGCCTGAGAAGCGAGGCAAAGCAGAGCAGTGTTGGAGTCCCCGCAGGCGGGCAGTCCTTGAGATGGGTATTTGGTGGGGGAAGGTGTGAGGGTGAAGCTATGCTGCAGTGCAGACATAAAGAAGTTGATGATGTCAGGAAAATGGGTTATATGCTAAGTAAATCTGCAGGCAGTGAGGAGAGCCAGCTCAACACAGAAGTTGGGTTTTAATCTCACAGCCCACAGGAACATTTGGAGATCACACCACGCAACTTTTATCCCAGATGATGGAAAGGGAACCACATGGCTTAATGTTTCCTAGCTCTGGTTTGGTCTTGCTCTGTTCTCCTTCTTGCTCTGAAACTTCCATACTTTCCTTTTGGTTTTATGGCGGGGAGGGGCGGGGAGGGGAGAGGGGGTTTGGCTGGTCATGGGGCCTGAACTCTGGGCCTGGGCACTGTCCCTCACCTCTTCACCTCAAGGCTAGTGCTCTACCACTCTAGCCACAGCACCACTTCTGGCTGAGGAATCAAACTCAAGGCCTCATGCATGCAAGGCAAGCACTCTAACCACTGACCCACCATTCCAGCCCACATACTTCCCTTTTGGAATGGGAGTGTTCACTCTGTCCTATTTCATCTTGAAAGAATTTAGTTTTCAAGGACCCATGATAGTAATTTAGACTTGAACTTTTTGCCAGTCCTGGGACTTGAACTCAGAGCTTGGGCACTCACTATCATTGAACTTCTTTTGCTCAGGGCTACAACTCTACCACTTGAGCTACAACACCATTTCTGGCTTTTTCTGTGCATGTGGTATTGAGGAAGCTAACCCAGGGCTTCACACATGCTAGGCAAGCACTCTACCACTAACCCACATTCCCAGCCCCTGAACTTGAACTTTTGAACAGTTTTGTAACTTGTAAGACTTTGAGGACTCTTAGACAAGGACCAATGTCTTTTGCAGTTAGAGATGGCTATGAGCCCTTGAAGTCCATAGTAGAATGTTGTGGTTTGGATACGTTGTATCCATAATAACCTCATGGATTGAATGCTAGTTTCATAGATATTAGAACCAATTGTTGAAAGGTTGGGACAAAGATGCATCTTAATTCAGCATTATATGAATCCATTGATGAAATAGTAATATCAAGGTATTATTAGGACATGAGATTGGGTGCTACTTGGAGAAAGTAGGCTACTGTGTTTGAATTGTGTCTTGTTTCTGATACGTTCTTGTCCTTTCTGCTTCCTGATTACAATTGTGTAAGCACTTCTGCTTTGCCATGTCCTCCTACCACAATGATGACCTACGTTCAGAGACACACATAGGAACAGAACAACCCTGCCTTTCAGATAAATGTAAACAATAAATCCTAATTCTTCTTAAGGTAAGTTTCTCCTGATGAAAAATGTGTAAAATGGAGGGTTGTAATCTTGTATTTACTCTAGCACAGCTGATCCTTGCATGCCCAGTGTAGGTGATGTTTTTCCACTCTTCTGATGTCCTATGGCACTTTATATCTGTCAGGGAGTGAATGTATAAAAGGGCACCTGTGGTCAGGGCTCCTTGATCTTGTACATCATCCTTCTGGACTGCTACCCTACACCTCTTACTCCACTTACCCCACTGAGAGCACCACTGAGTCTGTCTTCAGGGCCAGGAAACTGCACGTGTTGTGGTACATATCTGCAAAACAGGAACAACAGAGTTCAAGCCATGATGAGGACGAACACTTGCCAGCACCGCCCCACTGAGAGCAGCTGCTGTTGTAGGCCTCTGTATAACAGACTGCCTGTGTCCTATTGTCTCCTCTGAAACAACACTGTGAAGCTCTGTTTAGACAATGCCATATATCTATCTGCAATTTACCACATGTCATAGCCCAAGTGGACCATGAGGTTTAACTTCTGCAATGCTAATTTTACAGTTTGGTAAATTGAGACCCTAGAAGGCATAGGCATCTGAAATAGACTTTGGACTAGAAGTTTGAACTAATCAGTTCGGACTAGGAGGAGGAAGATTAACCATTTTATATATTCACTTTGGTAGGGAAGTTGGTGTCTCTGAATGTCCCACAGTGATTAATGCAGGGGTTTGTCAGATGTTTTAGAAGGCAAGGAGGATATGATAAATGCAGTAATAGAAAGGAAGGAAGGAGTCATAGCCATGTATCTAGAAGCCCCTTTGGAAAATCCCTGACCTACACCTGCACTGAGAGATCATATTGTGAAGAATTCAGGCAGGAAGCTCCAATTCCATTGATGGTGTGTTTCTCGCCTCTACTTAGTTGCACTAGATGGAGCTCCATTGACTGCTAGAATTGGCCCCTCTCAGGGGTCACTGGATAGCTAGCTGAGGCTGATGGGTAATGAGGCCCTTCCTCCATGACCACACACCACAGGAAAGCTCTTTACCCAGACTTCCTATCACTGCAGCCCCTCCATGGTAGAAGATGACGCCTCGACGAGGGCAGGAGGACACTGCCTTCGGCTGGAACAGCCTCACGCTGATTGTCCCAAATCGCAGGTTGGTCACCACCACTCTGGGGTCTTTCCTTATTAGCTGTAGGTGTAGTGCAAATTGACAAAATCTGGGCATCGAGCAAATTCTTAGCTTCTCAAGTATACACCCCTGGAGGAGAGTTGGAGACAAATTTGAGTTTTCTATTTTCAAGGCTCAGTTCCTTTCAATAAGCTCTATGAGCCATTTTGAAACCAGTGCCAGACAATCAGTGTGCACACAGCTCCCATGTGGAGATCAGTTCATCAGATTCTCCTAAAGTTAATGGATATTGACACTTGTCAAGTAGTTGTGAGAACCGAGAAACAGGAAACCCAGGAAAGCTATTCATTCTCATCAGATGGAATTCTTGTTGCATTTATATTAAAGACACCTGGGCTACTTGCCTTGGATCAATGCTGATTCTTACATTATTTCTACCAGCCTGGACGTCATTACTGAGGTCAACTGGACACTTCCTTTATTACTTCACTCATTCCTGTGTACTCATAGGAGAAAGGTCACACCACTAAAGTCATAAGACACCACTCTTAGAGTCCTCTTTTTCCACACATTCCACTGCAAAAACAAAGGCTGACTAGGGACCTGCTGCAAGTTCAGCCCTGTGTCCACAGACTTGGAAACTCTACTCCCCATGTGAAGGCTGCTGTACTTCTACCTCAGCCTTGAATGAGGTGATTCAACTTCTCCTTTCCTGGCGGTGCCCTCTTCAGAACAGCAGGATTTTCTGAGTGCATGAAATCTGCACAGAATGAACTTTGCAAAGATGATTTGCCTTTTTCATGATTTCTCAGCATTGTCAGGGACAATGGTATGTTTTAAGTGTGATAAAGGCACTCTGGAGTTACCCTGATGCCATGGCAATTCTAACTTATAGGACACTGGTAGCTATAAATTTCTCACCATGATTGTGCATCTGCTTTCTGATTAGTTATACTACTGAGGCTGGGACTGAGTCTGTGAGTTTGGCTGGTTATGCCTGACACAGATTCATTATCACAATGGGAACTGTAGCATGGAATCTGGTTCCCATTTGAGGTGCCTTTTGACCTGCCTTATGGCCTCCTATCTCACTGGAGGACGCCAAAGACCTAGAACGTTCTGAAGGCCTTCTGATCTCCCTAATAGCACTTAGCATCCTGGGGCAGAAAGGCAGACTAAAACAAGACAGAATCTCCCCTGTCCATAGGTGTGTATCAATTTATATATTTATACTAATAGGTATATATACATGTATATCAATATTTATTTCAGTATATCAATATTTATTATAAACAATATGTATATATATAAATAAGCAACCTCACATATTTTTCTGCCACCAAATTATACTCTGCTTCCTTTGTCTTCTCTACATTATTATTGTTTTTTAGGATGGCATTGATTTCTCATGACTAACTACTTCCTATGGTTTATTTATTTACTTTTTTATTTTATTTCATTTTTATTGTGAAAATACTGTACA